AATATGACCTCAAAATTCAGGTATTTGGAATTAACATAATGAAGTCATAATATTTAATTGTTTTTAATTTAGAGAAAGGAAAATTTCAAAATTGGCCCTTCTGGTGGTTCACCCTCTAGGTGGGTGCATTATGAACGAGTGAAGAAAATAATTGGTGGGTTCAAAAGCGAAAACATCAAACAACTTCAAATAGAAAGTATTGAATGGTAAATAAATATTAAAAAATAAATCATTCATGCTATCTGTTATTTATTTGTTATTTTTATTATGTTTATCCATAATGTTATTGTTTTTTTCAATATTTTAGATGCAGACTTTCATGAGGATTATCTGGAGGAGGAAATGGCGATGTCATCATCCCCTATGTCAACATTATTGCCACCAGTATTATCAGAAGCGACTTCGTTATCAACGTCGATGTCAACATTATTGCCACCAGTATTATCAGAAGTGCCTACCACCACATCGTCGACTCCAATATCATCACCACAGCCTAAAAGAAGAAAAAGATTGAATTATTTTCAGAAAGAGGTATTAAATACGTTGAAAAATTCAGCTGAAAAATTATCAAGTTCTTTACAATCAATAAAGCAAATCGAAAAAGAGTTACTTCAAGAATCAAAAAAAAAACTGAAGAACTTCATGAATTCGTTCAAGATTCTAAAGAACTGAAAGACGTTTTTCTGGATTTTTTAAAGAACAAAAGTAAGTAAATGTAAATAATAAAAGTAAAAGTTCAAAAAAGTAACTAATGTTTATAATGTTAATAAAATGTAAATAATTAAAAATTTATTTTAAATAATAAGTAAGAAGAAATCTAGAAAAAATCTTTATTTTAATAAGACGTAAATAACTAAAAATTAAGTTAAAATATGTGAAATAATTTTTTAGTTAATAAATAAATATATACATACTCAAGTAAGTTGCAACAGCTTGTCTTATTTCTTCTGCACTAGGTTCCATATCAAAAATAATGGGGTGTTGGTCAGGATGTTGGTTTTTATCAATGTTTTTCAGCTCTTTTAACCATTGTGCATTAATGTGGTCGTTGTTTTCATTTAAAAAATTGTGCAACCCACAACAAGCACTTACAATAATATTTGCATTATTGATTCTATTGTCCAAACCCCTTCCTATTCGTCGAAATCGTGCTGTTAAGTGTCCAAATGCATTTTCAACAACCCTTCTACATTTCGAAAGTTAGTAGTTATAATTTTTTTTTACCGGCGGCATATCAACATTAAATGGATATGGTTTCATTAAAGTTTGGGTTAGCCTAAATGCCGAATCTGCTATTAGATATACTGTCACATCTAAGTTGCATATATTTCTCTTATTTTTCCTTAATGAGTTGCACGTATTTAACATCTTTTTTAAGTTGGATGTTTCATATATATACGAATCATTACAACGTCCATGAGTTCCCACATTAATGTACATGAAACGGTACCTAGTAACTGGTATTAGTTTCAAATAGAGTGAAAAATAAAATTCCACATAGCTGAAATCCACTAAAGCTAATAAAACTATTGAGTGCCATCCTTTATAGTTGTAATAATCAACTGCATCCTCTGGGTTTGGACGTATTTTAGTATGGCATCCATCTAAATAAAATTATTATTAAACACTTTTACGTTTGAATTTATAAGTACATACCAAGGGCTCCTAAACGTTGTAGAAATCCGAGAAGTTCAAAACCTTTTACGCATTCTGCCACGGTTTCTTGTGTTAATGAAAATCTTTTTAAATATATGAGTGACATTAATTCCCATACAATTCTGCAAAACTCCAATACAATAGTGCATACTGTAGATTTGACAACGGCAAATAATTTACACACAACCCTGTATTCCTCTGAAAATCCTAACGCACAGAAAGCAATTGCGATTCTTTTGTCAAGAGGAACCGTTTTACGCCAATAAGTGTCCTTTTTTTGTAAAGAATTTAACAATTCACACAAAACTGAAAAACTTTTTCGAGTAACATGAAAATGTGTTTTAAAAACATCTTCCGTGTGACAGCACATGTTCCAAAAGTTGATTGCTGGTTTTCCAAAAGTTGATTGCTGGTTTTCCAAAAAAAAATTAAATATCATAATTTCAATGTACGATAATATATTTACAAATTTCCAAAATGGTCTTAATACAGACGACGTTGTTCCAAGTAGTATAGCTTTATATCAGTCCTATATCAGTTGATTTAAAGTAGCAATGTTTTGCTTCACCAATTGTAATTTATTGTCAAAGGCGCTACATATTATTTTTGCAGTGGTTTGACGATGGCAAATATTTTGAAAAACATACTTTAATAAGAGTTCCATATAATTATTCATTTTTTCCTATATTATATTATATTCCTATATTTTCGGCATAGCTCGAAAGAGCGAGTTTTGCCGTGCCCAAAACACTCTGCATAACATGGCCCTATGCTGTAAAAAATAATTTAGCTAGCCTAGACCAAACTACTTGACAAAAATTGACAATTGACAGATAGTAATATCTCCCATTTCCTTATTGGTTAATGTAGTTATTTTAAAAAATGCGTCAAGATAAATCAAATTCTCAACCTGCAACCACTGATAAGAAAGCAGACAAAGTTGTCCCAATTGTACTTTGTGAAACCCACACAAACTAATGGAGCTCATTAGTCAAGCAATTACTAACAAGAAGCTTTAATTTCAGCGAGGGAAAGAAGGTCTGTTTGGGCATACAAATAACTCCAGTCACAATAGACGACCACAGCAAAATAACAAGATATCTGAATGAGATCAGTAAGCCATTCCGCAGCTACTTTCTTCCCGACGAAAAACACCTCAATATTATAATTAGAGGTTTGAAGAGGCAAACCATTGAAGACATTAAAGAAGATCTTGTAGGCCAAGAATTTGGCATCTTTGATTGCCACTTTTGGAAAACAATCAACCATCAATCTTATCAAAATTCGACTACCAGCAGACCAGAAGGACATCTATATTGTCCCCAGCATTTGTAATTTGAAGGTGATAGTCGCCCTCTAAATGGTCCTCCACAATGTCATAATTGTCAACAGTTTGGACATGCCGCCACTAAATGCAGAACCACACCAAAATACAACAATGTACAAAACCGCGCGATACTGCCCCTATATGTTTAAACTGTGGCGGCCAACTACAGAAGATGCCCCTGCGCTCCGCAAAACCTGAAGAAAAAGAATGTCTCCACATCAATCTTACCTGTCAGCTCCAAAGTACTGCCATCAATATCTTATGACGATGCTATGAAGAAAGAAAGTACAACCCTGCAACTTCAGTCCAAATCCTACTTACTGGTCTCCCACATGGAGAAACTTTAGAATAATATGCAGGCACCACTCAATACAATGATGAAAACTATGATGCAGATGTTACAAAGTTTAGTACCAATCTTTGCTTTTAAATGAGTATATCAACACTTCACCTAAAAATTGTTACGTGGAATGCCAATTCCATTTAAACAAAAAATATTGCTCTCTCCACGGAACTACAACTAGCCAGAACATCGCAGCTAGTTACAAACCGCTCTAAGTAAACGGGAATCAACTGGGATGATAACATTTAACATATCCAAAGCCTTTGACAAGATCTGGCATGATGGCCTTGTAGTCAAAATGGCCCATTTCGGGGTCCCAAGCGGGCTGATTAAAATCATGGGTAGCTTCCTGCAAGGAAGCAGATGACACGTGCTTGATCCACTCTGACCGGGATGTCATAAATGTAAGTAATACCTTACAGAGAAATATAGACCTTATGATGGAATACTTCCAGAAATGGAAGATTAAAATTAACAACGACGAAACTAAGGCTTGTAAGGATGGAAATTTTTACCAATTTCCAACCTACATATAACTAGTGTGCAGTTAATACCTGAAATAAAAATTGATTAATTTTTATATAATATTTTAAAAGTAAATAACCTACCATAAACCCACCCCCACAAGCACGTAACTGCACCAGTTGAATAAAACCTTAGATTACATTGAAAATTTAAAAGAATGCAAAATATATTCAAATAAATAAATATTAATAAAAATACCTTATTTATTTATTATTTAAACTTGTACTTTTAATATTTTTAATATTTATTTTATTTTAATAAATAAATATAAATATTTAAAGCCGCCACTACCGACACTAAGCTAAACACGTTTCAAAACAAAACAAATGCACAACACAAGAAACGTCAAAAGAAAGCTTTTGTGCAAAGAGCTTTGTGTTAAAATTGATGCGCGCGCATATAAACTACGGCGAAAGCGCAAAACAGCAACGACGTCAAAAATCCAAGCCAGCTGTAAACTAAGCTTTGCGCTACGTTAAAGTTTGGTCTGATGCGTATATAAGAAGACGCATTTACTTAGAAGAGGGCAGTCAGTGATCAACACGCAAAGTGTTCAGAAGCAGACAGAGGCTCGTTATCAACTTTCGAAGACAAGAGAACGCACCAGGGACTTGGACAGTCAAACACAACATACAAAGTCGGTCGCAGAGCTAAGTATAAACAGAGACTTACATAACAAATTTTCCTTTGATTTGTATATCCCTCCTACAGCCACCGTATATAAGCGTGAACACGTTTATATCCTTTCCCAGTAGCAAATATAAGCGTGAACACGTTCATATCCTGCTATTAAAACCTAATATAAAGCGTGAACACGTTTTATCCCTCCTATAGCCACCGTACATAAGCGTGAACACGTTTATATCCTTTCCAGTAGCAAATATAAGCGTGAACACGTTCATATCCTGCTATTAAAACCTAATATAAAGCGTGAACACGTTTTAGATCCTTTCCTACTTACTAAGCCATATATATATATATAGACGTGAACACGTCTATAGATAATAACATCTATAACCCATAAACTTTTCTTCCACAACAGGTATAATAATTTTTATACATATCAAATATAAATGAATAAACATTGTTAGTTTTAAGACAACTTAATAATAAATAAATATTGAAATCAAACACCGTTTTTATCCTTTAAAAATTTATTGTAACGACCCAGGACCAACCCCTGAGTATTACCCCGGCAAACAGAGCGACGAAAAATTGTCGTTACAATTGGCGCCCGAGCAGGGACAGTGTTCAAGGATTTTTTTTAATAATGAAGTTATCCCAGCCAAAATCAAGTATGACCGTGTTCAGAAGATTTTAAATACGAAAGCAAACAGGAAACTATGTAAACCGAAAGAAATTATGATTTTATCATCAGAATGAATGGCACAAGCTAACGTTACCACAAAGTAAAATAAAAACACAAGACGTCCAAAGATTAAATGCCTCATGTCGATCATGGCTTCATCATATGCTCATGTCGTAGAACAGATAAGGAAGTGGTCGGTACGTTACGACGGACGAAAGAATCCATTGGGTTTTATAGAAAGAATAGAAGAACTAGCAGATGTTTACGCCATTAACGTAAATCTAGTTCCCAAGACGATGCCTATACTTCTCGAAGACAAGGCACTAATGTGGTATCGCAATAATAATAAGCATTGGCAGTTATGGACAACTTTCAAAATCGACTTCCTAAAATTTTTCATTTCCTCTAAATATTTTGAAAAATTAGAAGACGAGGTGCGTTTGCGGCTTCATAAACCAAAGGAAAAATTCAAGGATTATTTTATCGACATTCAAAATTTAATGCGACGAGCTTGCCTGGATCCAGATTCACAATTAGAGCGAATATATCGCAACATGAACACAGATTACAAAGTGTACATCAAACATCAAGACTTCACAAGCTTAAATGAGTTAGCAACACTTGCTGATGACTTTGAAGAACTTCACACAACACAGCACAAAGTGAGTCGAGACCGTGTTCAAGAAGAAACTATCCACATGTGTACAATAGTTGAGCACCCACCAATAATGCCATTACAGAGTACAATGAGACTCATATCCACGACGCCAGTACGAGTTGAAGATAACTATAGTCTAGGCCCCGTATCATCTGTCCGGAACCAGCAGCAAAGTAACCAACAACACAACCAGTCGATAGCTGCGCAAACAGCAGCTAGAATAAATAGAATTGCAACTTCAAAGACAGCATCACTATCCAAGCCAAGTATAATACAAAGCATGCAATGTCGAATTTACCCAGAGCAGCAGTCAGTAGAACTGCTAGAAAATTTACAAGCGCAAACGCCATGTAAATGCCTCATAACAAACAAAGAGATACAAGAGCTCCAAATCCCAGAAGCACAACGTCAGCGAAATATAAAACATAGCAAAGAAAACACAGAAGTATGTAAACAACTCCGAGTCAAGCAAGATCAACAAAAGTTACCAGTACAAATACAAAAGACAGCGACAACAAGGTCCAAGATATATCAAAGAAAACCCAGAAGTATTTAAACAATTCCGAGTCAAGCAAGATCAACAAAAGGTACTAGGTCAAATACAACTTCAACAACAGCAAGATACTAAACCTCAAATGGAATCAAGCGTAGAACAACCGTATACATCATTATCTGAAGTAGTAGAAACTTCATCACTTTGTATACCTCAAGAACAAGCACATTTAAACACTTCGCTAATACCATGGCAACAAGTACAAGATATTCAACGACGAAATACACAAAAGGATGAAGTCATCAAACACAATACAACGCAAGTTCAAATGATTGATAAAATAATAAGTTTTACCCAACCACCACCACAACTAGGTTTGATAAAACACGCTAGTCAACAGGAACAACCATCACAGCAAGGAAAAAATAGTCCTACTCACATGAAGGACAAAGTAATCGGTTACCCGGCACAAGCAAGAAAATATTATCACGGAACTCAAAATCCAACCATCGTTCAAAATCGGCAGCGACAGATGAAATATCCAAGTATGCTTCAACAGAAGGGTGATGATCACCACATCAGAGACCAACTCAATTTTTACAAAATTTTTAAAACTCCAAAGAAACGAAATCGTGCCACCAGGTAGTATCTCATGTTAACTTCACTTCCCGAAGAAGGAAGGAAATGTAAGGATGGAAATTTTTACCAATTTCCAACCTACATATAACTAGTGTGCAGTTAATACCTGAAATAAAAATTGATTAATTTTTATATAATATTTTAAAAGTAAATAACCTACCATAAACCCACCCCCACAAGCACGTAACTGCACATGTTGAATAAAACCTTAGATTACATTGAAAATTTAAAAGAATGCAAAATATATTCAAATAAATAAATATTAATAAAAATACCTTATTTATTTATTATTTAAACTTGTACTTTTAATATTTTTAATATTTATTTTATTTTAATAAATAAATATAAATATTTAAAGCCGCCACTACCGACACTATGCTAAACACGTTTCAAAACAAAACAAATGCACAACACAAGAAACGTCAAAAGAAAGCTTTTGTGCAAAGAGCTTTGTGTTAAAATTGATGCGCGCGCATATTAACTACGGCGAAAGCGCAAAACAGCAACGACGTCAAAAATCCAAGCCAGCTGTAAACTAAGCTTTGCGCTACGTTAAAGTTTGGTCTGATGCGTATATAAGAAGACGCATTTACTTAGAAGAAGGCAGTCAGTGATCAACACGCAAAGTGTTCAGAAGCAGACAGAGGCTCGTTATCAACTTTCGAAGACAAGAGAACGTACCAGGGACTTGGACAGTCAAACACAACATACAAAGTCGGTCGCAGAGCTAAGTATAAACAGAGACATAACAAATTTTCCTTTGATTTGTTATCCCTCCTACAGCCACCGTATATAAGCGTGAACACGTTTATATCCTTTCCCAGTAGCAAATATAAGCGTGAACACGTTCATATCCTGCTATTAAAACCTAATATAAAGCGTGAACACGTTTTATCCCTCCTATAGCCACCGTACATAAGCGTGAACACGTTTATATCCTTTCCAGTAGCAAATATAAGCGTGAACACGTTCATATCCTGCTATTAAAACCTAATATAAAGCGTGAACACGTTTTAGATCCTTTCCTACTTACTAAGCCATATATATATATATAGGCGTGAACACGTCTATAGATAATAACATCTATAACCCATAAACTTTTCTTCCACAACAGGTATAATAATTTTTATACATATCAAATATAAATGAATAAACATTGTTAGTTTTAAGACAACTTAATAATAAATAAATATTGAAATCAAACACCGTCTTTATCCTTTAAAAATTTATTGTAACGACCCAGGACCAACCCCTGAGTATTACCCCGGCAAACAGAGCGACGAAAAATTGTCGT